CCCGCGGCGTCCCGGGAGCGCGGCGGCACCTCTCGCACGGCGCCGCGGCCCGGCGACAGCGCCCCGCGGCGCCCGGCGAGGCCCGTCTCCGCCCGCCGCTGCGCTTTGGCAAGATCGGCCGGCCGCCGGGCGCGTCTCCACGTGCGCGCTGAAGCGGCGGGGCGCGGGGGGCACACGAGCCGCGCGGAACGGGGTCGGCCCGCCGCTGCTGCCCGCGCCGCGGAGGATGCGGCGGGCCCGAGGGCTGGGCTTCCCCCCCTCCCTCCCTCCCTCCCTCCCGGCCGTGCCTGCGCCCGCATCGGGGCGCTCGGGGCCGGGCCCCGTGGAAGGTTTCCTGCCAGGCGGCGGCGGCGGAGCCTGGGGAGGCAAGGGACGCGGTTTATGGATTTGATCGGCGGGCCCCTGGTGGGCGCACTGGGGGGGGCGGGGGGAGGAATCTGTGATGCCGATCGTGGGAAGAGAGCCGGGAGCATGTGGGGGGAAAGCTCCGTGACTCTGGCCCGGCGTCTTGTGCACAGTCCGTGGTTGGGGGGACAGCCCGCCTGGCGGGCCGTGCGTGTCAAGAGGTTGGTGGGGGTGGGCGAGACCCCCTGATCATGAGCGGTGTGTCTTCCCCAGCCCGTCCTGACTGCCACGGGAGAACGTAGCACCGGGATGCAAGCGCGATCCTCGGCTCAAACGCGTTCCAAACATTATTGTACAATCGCAGGCCACAGACAGGAACAGCAAGGGGTCAAAAGCAGCCCCCCAACTAAGTCCCTGCCTCGGACACTGACATTTCGCCCTCCAGTGCCGCCCCCCCACACCTCTCCTTGACATTCGTGGTGCTCCTTGAAATAAAGGCAACTCCCTGGGTCCTGTGGTTGTGTGTCTGCGTTCAACGTTGCCTTTCAGGGGCCGACTCGTTTCTGCACCTTCCAAATCTCCTAAGAAAACTGAGGTTCCCCACAGCCGCCCAGCTTGTTTCCATCTGGGACGGCCACCTGCCTCTCGCCCTTCGCCTGCAGTCTGTGCCTAACACAGCCAGGAATGGCCCATGCTAGGTGTGTGGGTGCAAGTTCTTATTGTTAAATTATTATTTTAATAACCAACGGTTTTAGATGTTTTAGGATTTTTCCCTTCACAGTCGCACCTTCTGTTTTTTCCTCCTTTTTCATGTGATGGGTTTTATATTGTAATAATTGACATTTTATATTGTATGTTTATATTTCATATTGTACTTTTATATTTTGTAAGCTGTCCCGAGCGCTTGGCGAAAGGATGGGATATAAATGCCCGTAGTGAATGAATGAATGAATGAATGAATGAATAAGCAAGCATGGGGGCCCGCCTGGGAGAGTTTACCCAGAGCTTTGAGGAAGGACTTCCTGGGCTCTGCTGAGTCAGAGTGAGGCCCCATCTCTGGTTTCCAGGTCCAGTCAGCAGGCCTGGGCAGTGACTGGGGCCCTGGGCTGGAGGCCACCCCGACCGAAATCCTAGCGGCTCAGCCGGGAAGCTCAGCTCCATGAGAGAAGGGGATGGGGACCATGTGCCTGTGGTATCAGGGCCGGCAGGAACCCACCAGTAAGTTGGGATTGGTTACTTGAGGTGCCAGGAAGTTTTTAGAGGACCACATCCAACTGTTATGGAGATGATGGGCAGAGAGGAGGCGGAACTGGGCCTGAAAGAGAAGATGCCACAAGCAGAACCGCGTGAGGAAGGACAAGGATTTGGCTCTGGAAGTGCGCCTTATTTATTACTCTGCCTTGGCCAATTGTTCGATTGACGTTTATATCTTGCCTTCCTTGCTTAAAACCCGTCAAGGAGGTGAGCAATTAAAAACGAGACTGTTCCAACAGCACCATGTAAAAGGCTTAAGTTAAAGAGATGCCAGAACCACCCGCTTTTGAGATGCAAAGCCAAAAGCCCTTTCCGGTCTGGGCAGCAAGCCTGCACAGAGGACCTCCCCTGCAGGGCTTAAGACTCGGGGGGGGGGGGGGGGTAGGGAGCTGGGTGCCAAAATGTCGGGGGGATTCAAGGCCAAGAGCAGCACCCTGAATCGCACCGGGAAGGCGAGTGCAAACCGGGGGAGCCATGTGCCTGCTTTCAGCTGAGCTGCTGCCTTTGCTGCTGGCGGACGTTGCCGGACACTCTGCAGGAGTGCTCCCACAGAGGGCCCGTCGTGGTGGGCTACTTCGTTTAGGCAGAGGCGAGACGACGGGCCAGGGCAGCGGCACACAAGACAGGCTCCCTGCAGCCGGGGAGTGGGGCTCTCGGTGTCCAGGGCTGCCTGTGGCGCGGCTGTCGAGTGCAGCCCGGCTCTCGTGCGAGCGAGAGGGGACGGGGCCAAAGGCCTTGGAGCCTTTCCTTTATGGTGCACTTTTATATTGGGTGTTGCT